GTCGGGGAGTGGGAGTCTTTCAATGGTGGGATAGCGGGCCAGAATCTGAGATGGAGCATTCGGCTTTGTTTTTCAACTTGGGCATGTCAACTGCTTTTATTCTCATTTGTACTGCATGGGATTAGGAGTTCTCAGGATTAACTGATGGCGACATAGCGTGCGCCCAGGAAGCATCATCACTTGGGCTATATCACTTTAATACCCAGCCAGATGGTACGATATGCAGCGTTGTATTGAGGAGCATGTACGGTATTTCAAAATCTTGCTATGGAGGAAGTAGAGACCTCTTTAGTGCAACAAAAAGCCAGATGCCTCTTTTCCCCTGGGTATTGGATATCAAAACGGCCGTTACCAATTCATCTCAGCCTTTATCCTTGGCTAATCCTAAACGTTCCTTATCCAATCTCCCGATCCGGTGGTCGTATATATCATTCCTTTCTTACGTTTTTAATCCTGCGCTTAATCCAATCCTTCTAGTAACCGTGTCGTGAACCAGGATATTGACCCCATCCAGGAGGTTGCTGGCCGTAGCCCTGCTGACCGTACGGGGGATACTGAGGCGCACCATACCCTGGGCCGCCGTATTGCTGAGGAGGAGGAGCTCCATATTGTCCTGGGGGAGGACCGCCATATTGACCTGGAGGAGCTCCGTACTGGGGTTGAGGGGGACCCCCATAACCACCACCATATGGAGGTTGGGGTGGAGGAGCACCATATCCGCCTTGCTGAGAGTGCCCTGAGTTGGAAGCCGCGTAGTTGGGGTTCTGACCATAGTCAAACGAAGACTGGCTTGGTGGCGCAGGAGAGCTCGAGAGGTAGCCTGCAGCTGGATTACCATCTTTACCCTCCATCGAGTCAAGATCGCGAGTTTTGACTTGAGACCACAAGGATCCTGCAACCTTGCCATGTCCAGCATTAGCCATATCGCCAAATGTCCCATGGTTGCAACCACCACCGCCAATACTGCGGCTGTTGCCCTGGACTTGATTAAGAATGTGGTTCTTATGATTCTTGACAGAGTCGGAGGAGAGAAGGTGAGCAAGCTCGTGGCGGCGGGGGTGCTCGTCAGCCCACTTCTTGACAGTCTTGAACATGTCACGTTGGATCTCGATATGATCATCGCGAGCAGCGGGGTGGTGGAACGCACGGAGGACGTCGTTAACGACCTCGTCAACAGAGACGCCGGTGTTTTCCCAAGCATAGAGGACGCGACTAGAATTGTTAGCTATGATAGTTGGTACGGGAGAGTGGGGTTGGCTTACGGGACTGTGTACTGGAGAATGGTAGCGGCAATACGACCAGCACATGAATTGAGGATGTTGGTGAAATGATCCTTGGACAACATGGAGTGAGTGGGATCAGAGCACTGGGGATTGTCCCAAGGCTCATATTGAGACTTAGCACTGGCCGTAATGACACCGGAAGAACCGTCCTTGAGAACCTTTGAGACCTGGTTGATGATAGGTCGGATGAAAGGAGCAAGAAGGCCCAAGATAAAGGCAGTAAGGGTCTCGCTGATCTTCTCAAGAAGCTTCTCAAGGCCAGGGACCTTGGAAATACCGCGGCTGATGGCCTTGACAATCTTGTCGCGGAACTCGAGAATAGGATAGATCTTGCGTGCTGTCTCAACAGGATCGAAGTCGGGGCTCATGCCGGGAACTTGATTGGCATTGTCACGAGAGAGGTCACCGCGGGTCTGCTGGTAGCTCATGTTGCGCTGTTCTTGGGCTTCAGAGCTGGCCTTGAGGTCTCGAGCCTGAGCGGCGAATCCGTCACCGACACCAGGAAGCTTTGAAACCAAGCCGATGAAATCAGAGGGACTGGACTTGATCCCGAGGAAACCTCCAAGTAGGGATCGTTCACCCCCGCCACCACCAGATCGGTTGGAAGCGCCCTCGGCGTTCTTAAGTGCAACATCGACCTCATCAACCTCAGACTGCGTGAAGTGATCCGAGGCTTCTCCAATGACGGAATGCAAGAAGTCGACAGCGCCAAAGGTACCAGTCACAAGGGGATAGACGCGCTTTCCATGGAGGTGGATCTCGGTATGCGCACCGCAATGGGGGAACACAGAGTGGTAGCCAAGCTCTCGAAGAGCAAGCTCGCAGTAGTTGCTGTGGGCGCTGAAGTCTTCCATGGTGTGCAGCGCCTGACCAAGACATCTCAAAGCCTCACAGAGGTCGTCTTCGTTTCCTTTCTTGGAACCACTAGTGTAAAGACGACCATAGTGGATGCATCTGGCGAAGCTGTATCGCAGATACGCGGCGCTGGTTGCCCAGTTTCCATTCTCGTTTGCGATATAGTTTTTCATGCCCGTCCGAGAGTCGATTTCGGTTTCTATTTTCTCGACGGGGCCTCGCAAACGTTTATCAAAAGTGCGTGCATCAAGTCCATCTCCGTAGCCAAGGGGGTTGTCGATGTGTTCTTCTGGACGATAAACACCGAGACGGTCCGCAGTAACCTCGAATTCGCCGGTAGCATAGCCGTGAGCCATAAAAGAGAGAACCCAAACCTGTCGGTCAAGTAAGCATCACAGAATCATCGGTGGCGCAAAGTAGTCGGCTCATACAAGAATGCGAATAGTTTCGGCATTGACACCGTTCAAACTGCCGATATCAACGGCCTGAGAATAGTCGCGTAACCAATTTCCAAAGTAGGTACGTTTGATCAGCATAGAAGTCCATTTCTTTCCGTGGAGGAAGGCGATCGTCTCGAGCATATCCTCAATGTCTGAAAATGATGTGAGCAACCCGATGTAACGGAATCGATATGGAGGGGTAATTTACCTCCATGGCGCCAGTTGTGACCTTCGACCTATGTGCGTGTCAATAGGAGGGAACAAATTAGCTGTGGAGGAGGTCTAGCACTAACCTGAGCAATTGAAGGGATGTTTCCAGCACCGAAAGCTTCAGCTTTGCCAGGAAGCAGGATGAGGCATACTGCGATCAGCAGTAACCACGAACCCCGCGGCATGGAAAATGACGGCATGGCAACTTAGTGATGCAGCCCTATGGCGGGGTTATCGAGCAAGGGGCGTAATGCGAGTAGAGTCTAAAAGGTCTAGAGGATAGGTAATAAAGAAAGGACAAAAGTAGGATCGCAGCAAAAGGCCAAGAAGAGGTTTAAAAACTTGATATGCCAAGAGAGGAAGAGAGTGAGGGTGACATGCAGATTAGGTGGTCGACCTAGAGCAGGTCACACTGATGACGGGATTTGTTGTGGCTGGGCTTGGGTTCGTTGCTAGGAGGGAGGGAGTAAGAAGTGGCTCCAGCTTTCAGCTCCCGAAGGCGATTCCTGATTAGCATTGGACGTGGCGCTTGCTGGACCGATGGGATTTCCGCTTCAGGCACATGCTAAGTAAAAGCCTAGGCTAAGATTGGGTAGCAAACGGTTGGGCGAGAGAGCTCTCAAGGACTCGCTCGATCTTGACTCTGTATTCGAGTTGATTGCGAAGCTCAACCCACTACTTGTGGCTCGGCAATTGAAGATGAGGCTCAGCCAGACAATACGTAAACATACCTTGGCGTTTCTCTCTCAACGGCTTGTTGATGATAAAAATACGATAGAATCTATTCTAGAGATAAGACGCGAATGTCGATCTTGCGAGAGCGAAGTCCGAGCTACGCTGATGTGATGTTTATTGCTGACTCAAAGGTTGTTGGGTGGTGGTAAGAGGGCTCACTTACACCCATCTTCAACAACATTTCCTTGCAGAATTAAGCAAATCAATGAGGCTAAGTAAGTTATGTTTCAAGAGTTCAGTGTTGTCTTGAATCATACCATCAGTTTCAGACTTACTTTTAGATGGCCGTCCAATCATTTAGAAATAAAAGACTCCTCGGCTGGCATCGTGAGCTCTGTATTTGTGTAAATCGATTGATGATATTATACGCCATCGACTTTGCGCAGATGTCACACTTTTCTTTTCAAGTACTGTAACATGATCTTCTCCTATATTGAGAGGCTCGCTCATATTCTCAAGGTCGCACGGTATACTGTGGAAGAACCTGTAGTTAGATAAGCTTGAGGTTTTGTTTGGTGGAGCTCAACTAGTAAAGGAGATCCGGCTTCTTCGGAAAATAATCCTTGGCAGCACAATGCTGTAATCGGAGCATACGGATCACTGAGATTCCGATGTTGTCTGAAAACAACCATTTATTGTACCCGCTGAGGAGATGAATTGGAACCCATAAGCCCATTGATCGACTGATCGATAGACTTTTCGGCCCCGAATTACTCAGATAGGAAAGATAATATAAGCGAACGGTAAATACTGTACATCATCTGAGTGCCTGAATGCTGACATTTAGATACGAATATTACGATTACGATGTATTTTGTTTAAAGTATTAAACTACCTCAGAGTACACGATAGTACCCGAGTCTTGCATGTGATGTTGCAATGTCCATGACAAAATGCCAGACTGTTGTTACTGTGCAAATCTCGATCTACTTTCAGCATTGAGAGGCTCAGCTAGGCGTCAATCGCATAAAATTAGGGCCCGTATTATCATCACCAACACTTCATCATTTTCCTCAACCTCAGCCGCCCAAAGACCAATTGTCCACCGCTAATTTCAATACAAACACTGTCTTATTCGTCGTTTCGGCAAATACTCTGATATCAGGCCTTGTATCCCGAAGTTGTGGCATGTTTTATTGTGATTGTAGCGCCACTCTTCTACTGACACGGATGGGGATCCTCATTAAAAAATATATCCCCTGCATGGACCCCTGTGCGGCGACTTTCACTTGCCGCTCACGCCGCCCTTTCATTCATTCCCTTGACTGTTTGATATTAAACCTTTTTTAACTTAATCTCTAACCCTCCTCTCAAGGTTTCAATCTCTATTTGTCTATCCTCCACTCTCCTTCAGTTTCCCTCCTTTTTTCACCCTCCTTGGTTGTCGACAAGGAGCACCTCTGCTTGTGCGCTGCTTCAATCGTCTTGGCTCCAAATCCTATCTCGACCCGTACGTTCCGACCGCTGCTTCAACAAAATGCCTGGACGTACTCTACCGACTTTTACTCGCGCTGAGGTCGAAGCGCACAACTCTGGTGACTCCTGCTATGTCACCATCGGCAACAAGGTCTACGATATTACCGATTTTGTTGAGGATCATCCTGGCGGTCCTGAATATATTCTCGAATACGCCGGTCGCGATATCGAAGAGATCCTCAAAGATTCTGATTCTCATACACACTCTGACTCTGCCTACGAGATTCTCGATGAGAACCTTGTCGGATTTCTCGTTTCTGAGAAGGCTGTGAATGGACACGCCAATGGGAAGGCCAACGGCACCGGAAACGCAAAGCTACCCAATGGTGAAGCCAACGGAGAAGCCAATGGCGCCGTTCACCCCCGAACCGGAATGTCTTGCGCGGAGGACTTGAGCAAGGATACAGACTATAACATGGACTACAAGAAGAACAAGTTCCTTGACCTAAACCGGCCCCTCTTCCCTCAGATCTGGTTCGGTGGTTTCTCCAAAGAATTCTATCTTGATCAGGTCCATCGCCCTCGCCACTACAAGGGAGGCCAGTCTGCGCCTCTCTTTGGCAACTTCCTTGAGCCTCTCTCCAAGACCGCCTGGTGGGTTGTTCCTATGGTCTGGCTGCCGTGCGTCGCATACGGTACTTGGGTTGCTTCTCAAGGCTTTGACAACCAGCTCTTCACTGTGGGCTACTGGCTATTTGGCGTGTTCTTCTGGACCATCATTGAATATGTCCTGCATCGCTTCCTGTTCCACCTTGACTAGTATGTTTCCCAATTATTGAGTCCTGAGCTTACCCGCTAACTTTTATAGCTACCTGCCTGACAACCGTGTTGGAATCACGCTTCACTTCATTCTTCACGGCATCCATCATTATCTCCCTATGGACAAGTATCGTCTTGTTATGCCTCCTACGCTCTTCGCTGCTTTGGCTGCTCCTTTCTGGAAGTTTGCACACGCTGTCCTCTTCCACAACTGGTATGCTGCTACTGCAGCCTACTGTGGCGGCATCTTCGGATATGTCTGCTACGATCTCACACATTACTTCCTTCACCACCAAGACCTTCCTCTGTGGTACAAGGAACTCAAGAAGTACCACCTTGCTCACCACTTCCTTGACTATGAGCTCGGTTTCGGTGTGACGAGCAAGTTCTGGGACAGTGTGTTCGGTACTGAGCTGATCTACAACACCAAAAAGACGAAATGAGTCTATTATAATAATGTACGAAATCTGCCTGGCGCAAAGAGAATAAATTTAAGCCAGGACAGAGTATGTATCTGTCTTGCTGTCATAGTAGTTGGCGCACACTGGGTGGTACGGAGCAGTCATGATTTTATGGATGGTAACGAACATGGTAGTCACTGACATTAATGGCGGTGAATCATTCTCATAAATAGTTTTAATGGTTGGGACTGGTTTGCCCAATGGGACAGTCTATTCTTGGACAGAGTCACTTTATAATAATAAACCTTTTGATCGATATGTTCCGCCTTTTTGCTTCACTGTATCTAGCGATGTTGCCGACGTGGTGGCTGCGATACTCGCCACGTGTCTCGTCACGTGCAAGTCAGACGCTTTGAACTTCCCGTCCAGCCAAAAGCTAGACCCATCAGGACTTTTCAAGGCAACCTCCCCCCAACAAACTTCCCACCCTACGACAGCAATTATCAAATCGCCCGGCAGAACAAGCTCACGAACAAACATACTCCTGGTGCTAAATAACTTACGACCTTGAAATCGGGGTTCCACCTCAAGACTTACACAGGCATCATGGCTACGTTGGACGTGGAAGCACTCCTGGACGCCACCGCTAAGGACACCTCCGAGCAGAAGACTAAGAGCCCTGTAGAGGATAGAACGCGAGACGAACCCGAACGGAGAGATAGAGAGCGTGATCGTGGTCGTGACAGAGACGGAAGTCGACATCGCGACCGCGATCATGGCCGACGCCGAGATCGCAGGGACAGCCCCAACCGAAGCCGTAGGGGTACACCCGATGTAGGAACACCCCGAAGCGATGCTGGAAGCCATAAAAGTAGGAGGAGAAGCCGCAGCCGTGATAGCGACCGCCGTCACTCACGCCGAAACAGAGATGGTGACTACTACAGAGGTGGACGACGTTCACGTTCACGATCTCGCTCGCCTTACCGCCATTACCGCCCCCGTGACGACCGGGATCAACGTGACCGCAGAGAGCGTGACCGAAGAAATCGCGATTATGGACGCGGTCGCGACGACGAACGTCGCGAAACCAAGCGTGAAGAAGGCAACCCGCAACTTACCGAGGACGAAAGAGATCGTCGCACTGTCTTTGTGCAGCAACTTGCCGCTCGCCTACGCACTCGCGAGCTGAAGGAATTCTTCGAGAAGGTTGGACCTGTCAATGAGGCTCAAATTGTCAAGGATCGCATCAGCCAAAGATCCAAGGGGTAAGCTAAGCTAAACCTATTCTAGAGTCCAATCACTAACAATATGCAGAGTTGGTTACGTCGAGTTCAAAAACGAGGAATCCGTTACTCAGGCTCTTCAACTTACTGGGCAGAAGCTTTTAGGTATTCCTGTCATCGTACAAGTCACAGAAGCCGAGAAAAACCGGCAAGCCCGAAACCCTGAAGCTTCGGGACCTCACCCCAATTCTATCCCTTTCCACCGCCTTTATGTCGGCAACATCCATTTCAACGTCACCGAGCAAGACTTGCAGGCTGTTTTTGAGCCATTCGGTGAGCTTGAATTCGTTCAACTTCAAAAAGATGAGAACGGCCGTAGCCGCGGCTATGGCTTTGTCCAGTAAGTTCCTTTATTCATCTTATGTACTATTCACTGACGTTATCAGGTTCCGTGATGCTGGCCAGGCACGAGAGGCACTGGAGAAGATGAACGGCTTTGACCTAGCCGGACGTCCTATTCGTGTCGGACTCGGAAACGATAAGTTTACCCCTGAGAGTACTGCCAACATGTTGCAGAGATTTTCCGGACAGAATCAAAACCAGAACTTCCAAGGTTCAGCTTTCTCTGGTTCCGGCGGACGAGGCCCTCAGTCCTCAACCTTCGACCGAGCTGGCGGTCGAGATAATGAGAAGACTGGAGGTGCTAGTGCTCTTGATGACACCGATGTCGCTGGTGTAAACTTTAACAACTATAGTCGCGATGCATTGATGAGGAAACTCGCCCGAACTGATGATAGCACCACCAACGGCAATGACGAGCGACAGGTGCTTAAACCCAAGACGGAGACGAAACCATTGCCTGTTAATGTCAACATGGCTAGCCGCTGTGTTGTGTTGCACAACATGTTTGATCCTGAAGAGTACGTGTCTCTGCCATTTCATATTGGCCAAATGCTGACAATTCACAGAGAGGAGGGCACCGATTGGATCAAAGAGCTCGAGGACGATGTTCGTCAAGAGGCCGAGAGCAAGTATGGACATGTGGTTCACATCTCGGCTGACCCCAACTCCAAGGGTGACATCTATCTCAAATTTGACAAAGTCCAGGGCGGCGAGAATGCCATCAAGGGCCTCAACGGCCGATACTTCGGCGGACGAATGATCGACGCGTCACCTGTTGTAGATGCCGTCTACAGCAGTTTGTTCTCACGTACCCGGGCAATCTAAGCTAATTTTTGGCTTGTCAACAACGCTCATTAGGACTCTCGCAGGTTAGCAGAGTCCGTATCAACTGGCTAAGGAGCATCACTAAGAATTCCTGGTGATCAACAGACTTGAAGTCTCCGCTTTTTCCGGAATTCCCCCGTTGTCTTCTATATACGATCCTCGGCACGACTCCAACCAAAAATTACGACTCTTATCTCACACATCAAGGTTTTCAAGTTTCGAAACATCACATATCTTTTTAACCATGTCACGGTCTCGCAGGTTTCCGCCCCATATCCCGACCTACCATATCTGGACTCGATGCGCGCGCGCTCTTATCCGGATCAATGATCGAAATCCAGGTTCAGCACTCGTTTAGTCGCAAGGACCTTTGCTGATGTCTGTACCCTAGGAAGCCTTCCCCTCTCAATCGAGACGGGGCAGCAACTCGGCTTTTTTGCACCATTATTATCTGAATAGTTTGTTACAATATAGAATGTCTTGAGAGTAATGATTGCTTATCCTTATCGTGACCATGTACAGTGATATATAAAAGGTAAGGGAGACATAAGCCTGGTCTGCTTTACTGATAATGTTCAGTGTCCCTTACCAATGCATCTCCTGCTTCACGACGGACGGGCGCGCCCTGCATGCGATATCTACGAAGGATGTCAATACATAGAGCAGAGTTCCTAATGAGCAGAGAGGAATCCTCTCGGGTCTAGTGTAAGTCAGATGGTGTTATCCAGGTATTGTTTAGTGTCGAAAACAGCGAATATTATTCTTTGGCCTGGCTCCTGATCTACTTCAATCATAAAACTCATTTACCTTGCACGCGCTCCGTGATGTCAGTCAGAACTGCATTGCTAGAACATATCAGCCTGTTTCAATTTCATTCTGTCTCATCCTTTCACCTATTGTTTCGCCGAGTGTTCGTCTCCATCTTTGTTCCCGAGTCTTAGTTTGGCTGATGGTCTATCCCGTCTCTTTGGCCCTTATTTAAGGCACGATAGCAAGTGCTATTGTTTCGGAGGAATTCTCTTGAAACATGCTTTATTGCCCAGCCCCAGCAAGCTTTTAATTTTCGGCCCCTTGTTGAATCAGGCCGGACCCGGTGTCCTGAGCTGCAGGAGTTGCTGGTCACTGGCAGTGCCAGTGCCAGGCAACCGAGCAGCCAGTCGCCTCGAAAGGGAACTATTTAGGAGAATATGTTTCAGGGTTTCCATGGTTCTCTCTCTAATCTATATCTAATCCAGCAACTTCTCGATTCGCCCATGATCGCAAAATATCAGATCTCTGGTGATATCTACGTGAGGGCAAGCTGATATCTTTCATCTGTTACCCTCGAGTCCTCTTCCAGTCTTGTTTTCTCGCTTGGCAAACAGAAACGCATTCATCCAGGAGTGTGCCAAACACAGGACGAATATTAAGCAAAAAGGTTTTGGCTCGGGCTTGTTTTTTCAGCCTTTCCTCCTACACTTTCAGCCTCCTCAGTAAATTGCACTCCTCATTCGCCCTCCACATATTCCTATTGTTCCCTTACCGAGCATTGTGCTTTTCCTCTTCCCCCATATCCGAGCAAGTTTGCTCTGTCGATGATGACATACGAGTATAACACGTCCTCTTCCACTGACAGTCACTTCGCGCCAAGTCAACCCTCGTCAAAGTGGTCTTCCAGCATTGAGAGTCGTGATACCAAACCTTCCAACACGAACACCATGTTGAGTATCAACTTCTCGACGCCTCTCGCGGGAGCTGCTCGATCCGAGAGGATCAAGCAGATGACCAACAATCACGTAAGTTAACAAATTTCTTCATCCTTTTGCTTGCTTTTCCATCCGCCTCAAGTCGCAGCGCATCTCCGGGTCAACAACTGACATCACCTCACAGCCCGCCTTTGAAAAGGCTCGCATGTCTCAAGAGATCCTTGTGAAGATCCAGACATCTCTTCGCCGCATGCCTGGTGTTTCTTCCAAGGAATCTAACGAGATTATCACAAAGCTGCAGGAAGTCGGGCAGATCATCAGCTCAGAGACGAGCCAGCTTGTCGATGCGCTCATGAACCTGACCCTTGATCAAGAGGATACGGACAAGGCCATCGCGCGCATGAGTATCGAGGCCAACCTTGCCAAGGCAGAGGCTGATGACCAAAGTCACAACCTGGGCAACCTTCGCGCCGAGCTGGCGGATGAGAAGGGCAAACGCCAAGAAGCGGAGGCCGAAGTCGTCAAACTCATGGATGATCTTCAGAAGCTCACGGATGAGTTCAAGTCTGCCAAGGAGAAGGCCCGTGAGGGTAGTTCTGGAGGTACCAAGTCGAGCGCCGATCACGATGATTTGGTCAAGGTAAGCAGTTTGTGCTATGTCATGTCACTCTAACAAAACTGACGAAGGCATTTAGCAACTTGAAACCTCCATCAAGCACCTCGAGGATCAGGTCAATTCTCGCCGATCCATCTGGGCTATGAACAACCCCAGTCCTGACTCTGTGGCACGCGCTCTTGAGACCATCGCTGAGGCATGCCCTGATCAAAACGCTGTTCAGAAGTCTATCATGTCTCTGCGTCCTGATGGCACGGACTCTCCTAACAAGGCTGCTGGTATCAATGGCGGCGCTCTCCAGTCTCAGCGTCCCCCTTCTGCCTTGCAGAACAGTCGTCCCCCTAATCTGCCAACGCGCTTTGGCTCTCATATTGTGCCTGCCCCTTCTCGTCCAGACTCTGCTGCTCCAAGTGAGCGCCGGTTCAATCAGTGGGCTCCTCCTACTCCTGCTCAGAGCCAACCTCGCTACGCAGTCCCCCCTCAAAACGGCGTTGGGCCCCAGTCTATGTTCGGTCGAAATGCCCCTCGTCGTGGTTTCAGCAACGGCACTTATCGTCCTAACGCACCTGAATTTTACCCTCAATCCTATGGGCATCCTGATAAGGGTCCCTCTGCCCAGAGCAATGGTGGGTTCAGCCAACAGCGCCGGGAGTTTTACCCTCCTACCCCTTCTCACAACCGCAACAAGTACAGTCGCTTCCGCGACCCTGCCCCAGCTCCTGAATTCAGTGCTCCTCCTGGTGCGCTGACTACTCGTCCCCCTTTCCCCGGTCCTCCTATCCACATCACTGAAATGACCATTGGGGCTTGGCACGACCAGCTGACGGAACTTTACACGACTGTCCGCCTCTTCGTCGACGTTTACGCTGACAAGCCGACCTTTGTCAACCCTATGGATCTTTCTAGCACTCGTCTCTGGCCTGTTCTCTTGGCTACCTACCACCCCCTCTCCGAGGCAGAGGCAGTCTCCTACCTTGACTTTCACCTCAAGGACAGAAGTTCCAAGTCTTGCCTCGTCACTCGCGTCATCATTGACTACATTGTCAACCGTGTCTGGGTTCCTCGGGCTTGGATGGGTGCTGAGACCGATGCTACCTACGGCCTCGTTGAGGTTGAGAAGGATCTTGAGAGAACTCAAGGTAAGACACTCGCCCCAATAATCAAAGTGCTCTACTAACAAACATTGCAGGCCAGACCGCTGTCCGTCGACAGCACATCCTTGATCGACAAGCGACTATCGTGGACTCTATCCTCAAGCTGGACAGCTTCGAGGAGTTCAGCAAGGTCCGTTGCCAGGAGATCTCAGACGTCATCCTTCACATGGTCGAACCACTCCTAAACCCTACCGCCGACCCTGAGACTACCTACAAGGAGCTTGAGAAGGTGTCTGCTGCCGCATGGGCTCTGTCGAGCCGCATTCTCAGCAGTCGGCTGACATTTGACTTCCGCTTCCCTGAGATCGGAAGCCGATTCTCGCACCAGTCCATGTTCCCCATCTGGCCCGACTCTGATCCGCATGACCTTCAGGCTGAACATTGGCGAATTGCTCTTGTCACCACACCTGTTGTGACCTGCCGCAATGACACCGGTGCAAACATCTCTGCTCACTCAGTTTGTATGGCTGATGTTGTATGCATGCGATAAATGCATCACCATTGACCTCATTGTTGTTGATCTGTACGATTAACGTGAGGGTAAAGGACCTCCGGGTCTATAGAATCGTCGAGGTTCTTACGAGTACGGTGACTACTACCACTGTACCATAGTGTCACACTACTGTTGACAACGATTACGCATAGCAACGATGGTGTGACTATCTGGAGGAGAAGAGACATTCCTCCTATCAGCACGGCTTAGAGACGGTCGTTCATACAAGGCAGGCGATCATGGGCGTTTAGTACTTGATTTCAGGGAGATTTGCTTACTTTTTACATCCGCATTTTTCTGCATGCACAACGGCATTGGGTTTACTTCATGGCAGGATATAGGCATCCTCATATCGCAACTCATAACCCCTTCTGGAGATAACCGAGATCTATACCCCAAAGATGGTGTTGTTTCTTTGCATTTCATTTTCCGTCGTGGGGAAAACAGGTACAAGGGGGTTTCTGGTGGTTGAAGATGCAGTCAATCGTCGGGGGCAAAAGCAAGTACTACTGGGTTTACGATCAGTCATGGGAATTGTTGCGGCCTCAAAAGAAGAAATGAGGCAAATGCATTCGAAAGATGTAGATGCGATTGATTATAGGGGTAATAATTGATTTTGATGCATTAAACTAGCGAACTAATTGTGACCTGGTGTTCTCGTGAGAGTCATCCCAGTCCTGTTGGCCTGTGATAGTCATCTTATCTATAGGAAGCCCTAAACTCCGGGTATCAATAAAGAGCAGAATACCACCATAATAATAATAATACAATAGAAGAAAGCAATTTCGACCCCGAGAACCAGGAGCCATTGCAAAGTGAATGCCTAGTAACGACGGCCCTGGGGAGAGCCACGAGTAGACTTGCGATCCAGGCGTCGCACAACAGCACCAAGAACAACCTTGAGAATTCCATCTGCGGTCAAAGCCTTACTGTTTTCCGAAGTAGTGGAATTCCAAGTTGCTGTATCAACCATATCGCGAATACCCTGGTCAGCGAGATCATCGTCGAGCTCACGGAGAGCCTTGGTAGCACCAAGCTCGTTGCCAACCTGGAAGAACTGGATACCAACCTGATGAGGAGGTGCCTCGATCTGGTCAAGCTTCTTGGCGTGGTGAACAATGATACTCTCTGGGTCGTCCGTGGGACATCCGTCCGTGATTACGATGATGTTGACCGGCTTGGTCGAGTCAACGTTGGCCGCACGGCGGGAAAGGTGGGCGACGTAGGGCTTGAGAATGCTGTGAAGACGAGAACCTGTTGGCGTTGCTCCGCAGGGACGGACGGACTCGAAGAGATGTTGGACTTGATTGGCATCACGGATCTGGAAATATCCACCGGGGGCTTGTACTCCGGTTCCGACGGCTGATGATCGATGGTTCAGGAAGTAGACGTCAATACCGTCGGGGTCGTGAGATGTACAGATCGGGGCAATAGTGCTCAGAGCCTCTCGAACCTCTCTCCATGATCGACCAGCCATGGATCCAGAGTCGTCAATGACGAAGATGGTATCGAAAGTAGAGAGGAAAGCATATTTATCTTCGGCACTGGTAATACTTGAGATACTGGGCGCTGGTGAAGCTCCCCGTCGAGGAACATTGAGAAGAGGAACCGTCTTTTGTGTGGGCTCATAAGCAGGAGGAGCCTCCTCGGGAACATCGAGGAAGGGGTTGTTCTTGGGGGTTGTGTTTGAGTTGCCCATGTCGAAATGTGTGTGATTCTCGGTAGGCGACTTCTTGGTTGAGAATTTATCCTTGATGCGGCTGAACATTTTTGGTGATGAAGGAGAAGCTGCGTGTGGCATGTCGCGGAAGGTGATTTTTATAAGTGTTTAGGTTGAAGGTTTGAGCTGAGGCTGTGAGTCACGTTCTTTGTCGCGAGAAGCTTGTTCACAAAGTTCAATGATGTGAATGGCTTCAACAAACTTCTTGTTCGATGGTGATGCTGCCTGTTCGTGTGGATTGAGAGTATCGATAGGAGCTTCGGGACCGACACAACAACTCTTTATATTAAGAGGTTCATCTTAACATTCCTTTGCTAGTACAAGGCAGAATACAAGTGTCGCCTCTTATGGCAAATTGTGACTATCTCAATGTTTCTATGGTGTTTGTTCATTTCATTGCCCCTTGCTCCGCCTTCACGGGCGGTTCCTCCAGTGTAACAGAATCGATTGAATGGTTCGCCTTCTGGCGACCTCTGGGCGGCCACCAGCACATTAGGCATTCTCATGTGCCCCTGTACAGCCCCCTGGGCACAGCCTCCACCCCCGCTGTATGCACGACACAGAGTCCACTTATAAGTTGACACATGGCCAATCGCAGAGCTTAATTCAATCGGCTTAGCTCCATCCATTAAGGTCGTTCCATTCTGCTGGATCTGCCTAGCCCTGGAGATCTGCCGATGACAGGTTGGACCCTTGCAGAAGCTCTTAGTTAGCACATGATGATCAATTCTAAATTATAAGGCATAATGTAGTGATAGTGAGATTCTGAGGCATTCTTGACCTCAGTCTTGAGTAAGTACAAACTACCATGGCATTGAAAATTTCAACTCGATGTAGTTCTTCCTTACTTGAATATGGACTCTCAGATGTGGTGACCTTGTGTTGGTGCATTAACAGAGCCTGGCTTGTTGTACCTGTGTGACTTACAGTTTCCCCGATCTAATCTTCAAGAGGCTTCTGACATACAGTCAAGACCAATCAAAATACGTTTAGATTGTCCTTCTTGCGGGGGTAACCCTGAAATTGAATATCTGTATGAACCATGCCGCACATGGATGCCTCGTCCTCAACTGAGCCTCGCCGGTTCAACCTCAGATGACAATATCGGTAAATTTGGTAAGGCATTGCAAATACAAGTGTATCTTTTGTAAATAATCACCTGTTTTATGTTTTCAAGTATATTTGTCTGTGCTAGCAATATGACTGTAGGCAGCAATTGACCTATTGCGGATATTTCAATGTTTTGCGCACATGCGAAGACAACACATAAGATGACAGCAATTGTCCTTGTGGGCCAACACCTGTCTTTTTAGATAACTGCAACATCTCTTCTGTTTTTCTATTACTTATCAAGTCAACTTCAATGTACAAATCTTGATGTATACCTTTACGGATACTTAAATGTTGATTGTGGTAGTGCGATTATCTGCACTAGGCTGTCTGCGCTATCTTCCTATCCCCATCCATCAAGACTCATGCTTATCTTCCACTACTATGACCTCCGAGGGTAAATGTCGCTTGAGTTTTGATATGCCACTGAGTTTGAAGGCGAGGACCCTTGTTGACCGCCTTGCATGTTGAAAAACTGAGTCCAGAGGACTGAACAAGTTCAATACTCATTTTTGGCCTCGTCAACCTATGAAGGTGATGGGAATAGATTCTACAAACTCACAAAGCTTCATCTGAGCGACCAAGGTGAAGATTAGACTGTGTGTACGGCAGATCCCTTTTTACATGAGTGCACTTCAATAATCAAGACACGGATTCCCCGTGTTTACACAATACTGAATGGTGATACTAAACCGTTTCAACCCAGTGATTCATGTAGCAACTTGGTAAGAGATTATATTTGCAACGCACATCCCAGCCTTTCAGCTTTCTGGGTCCGATGTCGTGACCCTATGCATCTCGGTGGCAGCCAGACATGGGATATTAAGTGTGTCGAATCCCCTGAACAACGAACATATGAGGTGTGGTGACCCCTGTGGAGCAGTCAGAACATGCACTCGTCAGTTACATTGGTGCTGACATTGGCCATTATCAAGCATGAGCCGGTCTACGAAGATCTCCTGGAGTCCCCAGAACAGTCTGGAATGAAATCGTGAAGAACTTGTCGGCAAACTCTAACCTTCAACCTCCACAGATGAAACTGGACAATATACCAAGCTACAGCATTCAGAAAGGGGATTCAGCAAGCAAGCCCCAGCCTTAATGATATCGCGCAAGCTCTAATCTTCTAGTCTGATAGGAAGCCACGATAGTATCAAGTACTGTCCAGGAAGACTGGCTGAAGTCCCCAACCCGATGGTAGAAACGTGAAAGCCCCAAGAGGGAATGTTGGCTACGAACTTCAAATGACTTGTCACCTAACGGATCAACCAATGTTGAAGCGATGATGGGAATTGAGTATCACAAAGTGGTAAGAAATGCAATGTTAGCCCATTCCCTTCAGAGCTTAGGTTCTCATGCATAAAGTTAGACTTAAGTTATCAAGATTAGGTTAATTGAAGAATGGACGGTCATACCCCTGGTTAATCCTAGTGATTTCTCGTATAAGTAAGTACCCCTTGACCCTCGGGACTACATGATCACTATTCTCATGCTTGTTACATACCCAAAAGAAAAGAAAACAACCAATGCATTAATTATTTCCTTGAATTATTATGTTGTAAATCTTATTCAGTTCCAGCGAGTGTATCAACATCGTCTACTATTAACAAAGTATAGGCCAAGAGTAAAACAAAAGGAAGAGGCCACTAAGAATAAAAAGAAAAGTGTATAACGAGGTCTAAACGTCCACCCGCTAGATTCCATGAAAAAAGGCTTCAAAAGATTCCCACGATTATCTCCTCCAGCAGCTAATGATCTTCCTCCAACTGCTTTCGAGGACGCCGCTCCTTCCCATACTTTTACCCAGTAAGTCTCCTCCCCTCCGGAGTCAGAGTCTTTTAAAACCGCACCTCATACGCCGCGTCATGCAGTAAGGGGGAAACCCGTAGTATTCCCCTCCAATAATCCCTACTTGATTGCTCCCTGACAAGACAGAGCATGTTGAAACAGACTGAAGACACAACTTGAAACAGGCCGTCTCCTCAGTCACAAAAAAATGGTAGTTGGTAGAATCTGCTAGATTTCTTATGGTTAAGAAAATGATCGTCCTATCTATTCGAGTTATTCGAATTTCAAGGAGACCAATAGAAAAGAGCTTGTCAAATTTAAGCTTCCTTGGGCTTGGGGCGGGGGAGACCCAGCTCCCGGCGACTCTTGAGATCGATCTCAGCGAGGCCCAAGCTGGCATTGTAAAGCTGAACGCAGTTGATGAACTGCTTGAGGAACATAAAAGGGAAGCTAACGCCGGCAATTATCCAAGGCACTGTAGAATCCATCTTGTTCGCACGGGCAAGTTCGAGAGCCGCAGGGCTGAAGGGATCGGGGAAGATCTGGGCGAGGATCGAAGTGTTGACTTGAGCACCGGCCTGAAGCTCGGCACCGACAGTCTGGATAGGCTTGATGAGGTAGGGCGAGACGAGAGGAGACGAGAAGCAGAGGAGGTAGAGAGCGATGAAGAAGAGCTCGTTGAGAGCGCAAAGGGCGAAGAGGACATTCTAGGCGCAATTAGTAATTGACACAGGTACCAGTAATTGAAGACACATACCTTGTTGGTGTAGTAGAGGCGCAGTAGCCAGTTCTTGCTCTCGTCAATGCTCTTGTGGCTGGCGTTGGTGCCTGAGATAACAAGCGTAGCATACATGTGCATGTAGTGGCTGGCAAGGTCAAGAGCAATCAAGCCCTGGAAAACAATGGCCCATCGAGGGAAGGCGGAGGAGAGGAAGACGATAAGACAGGCTGTAGTACAGCGATCGGTGACCATATCAAGAACAGCGCCGAAGCGAGTAGACTGTTCGTAGATACGCGCGGCATAGCCATCGAGGGCATCGAGAAGACATGAGACGCTGTAGAGGAACGAGCAAGTGCGAGGATGGAGGGGCATGTAGTAGAGTGACGCGATAGCAAGGACGATGCGCGCGTAGCCTAAGCAATCGTTAGTGAGCCTGACTTGATTTTTATAATGATTTCTGCTTATCATACCAATAATGTTGGGGATGAAAAGGAAGATGTTCTCGCGAGGGGCATCGTCCGAAGCATCCGCGACGCCGTTGGCAGACCCGTTACCGTTGGATCTAACTTCAGGCTCGGAATCAGAGGAAGTGCTTTGGGCCTTTGCGGCCTGTCGTCGAGTTCGTGGGCTCATGGTATCAATGGGGTTTGTATTATTGTATGTGGAAGATGAAGCTTCAAGTTGTCGTGATTATCAAGGTAGTGTGGCTTATCATGCAGCGGCGGAGTTTGGACCGAGATAACGGACAGAATCTGCGAAAGGGGCAGGGATTACTTGGCGCTGTTGAAGCTATCGAAGTGGCCAAGTGTGATTTTATAGAGTTGTCGCGCTTCGCGGAAGGTTTACAAAAGAGACTCGTTGAAGATGTCAGAAGGAGCGGATGTGAAGGAAGAAAAATATAATCAAAGAGGAAGCTCCAAAAACTCGAGTCAAGTGGAGGAAATCACTGTGTGATGACGAGCGGCGGAAGGCAGATAGGTAAGCTTAGGTTAGAGGCTCCCTTTCCATGAGATGCTCCCGCCAAGCGAACAACAGGGGGTGGGTTTTCGGTAGACTCGGACATGTTTAGAGCTTGGCTGCGTGTAAATTCAGTGGCTCGGTGTGTTGATTTGCCCGCTACCCACAGTCAAAGAGCTCCAAATTTACACCAGTCACAAATTGATCCCCTGAAATTGATATCCGCCCATGGCAAATTGTCAGCTTAGAAAGAGGGCACCGACTCCACTTTCAAGGTCTATTTCTTGGATATTTGCCAATGAACAACTCATCATCTCACTACTAAGACGTATGATTTGCTCATGAAAGTCTCAAGATCCAAGGTTGTTAGTCGCATTGGTTGTGAAGTCAGCTTCGGCTTGCAGAGACAACATATGTTTTTGCCATACATGTCATGACTTCTCTCGCCAAGTCATCATTTCCAGATCGTTATATCCGGCCAATATAAGTAGGTAGTCGAAACGTCGCACTGGTAATAACCCAGAACAAATAGAGTACGCGGTGATCACTCAAACATGAACTAAATGCATTAGCGGCAAAATGTTTAGACCACGGACCCTATGATTGCCGCGGTTGAGTTGTCTGCTGTTTGGATAAAATTGAGGATAAAGAAGCTCCAAGCCCCCAACACAAGGGTAAAGAACACATTATTAATATCTAACTATGGGTTGTATGCTTCAGTGCTCTTCCTTTAACCCATTATGATGCTTTGCAATGACAAGTTAGTTCTTGATGACCGTGAAACCCCGCTTGGGGCTATCATGACAGCTTGAGCCACAGTAATGGCCATTGACATCAGCATACATGCGCAACGAGAGGATTAAGCTATTAACAATTCATTTGGTCGCGGACATTATCGCACCGGCCCCGCAGCCTTATCAATGAGTGCGAGTCAAGTCCGCACTATCATTTCAGGTCCATACATCTTCACATGGCACTACAGGTTGATAGGTAAAACAGTGGCCTTAAAACCGCAGTCGACGACCTTGCGCTTCATAGAAACAGTCAAATGCGACGCAGACTTGAGACTGCAACCCTACCGGTGAAACTGTTGATTCAGCCGGATCGACAGCCTCGCTTCAACAGAGTTCGAATGCGACTATCGTTGTCAGTGGCTGAGCAGTCATCATATATGAGCGACTGATCCCGAGTATCCCTAGGACCCTGACCATGGTCACAATTCACACCAATATACACAATGACACCTCAATAAGGAGTTTTGCCGTCTCGGTTCGAATCACCGACTCGCTTCCAAAGCAAACACTTTTATGATATCTCATATCCAAGGTCTCTAACTTCAGGCCTCACGGTGACTCGGTTGGGAACGACCCCCACTTCCCGTCCATATTTCTCGATAGCTTGTCCAGAACTGTGGGTTGCGCGCCAAGCAGTATTGAATGGATTAACTCGGTGAGCCATGCAATCAGTCTGATTGTGGCGGTCAACTAAAGTCATTAGTTTGCGGGACTTTCAATTTCATGTTGGCTAAGACGGTAGTCGGCAACTGAAGTGTTCCCGAGGTTGTCAATTGTCGCTTCTCAGTTCTCACTGGTATGAGAAATAACGAATATCAATCGGTTGGTGGTTTTACGAGCTGCAGACACGCAGAGGTCTGAAAAGTCTAAATAGACTCAAGGGGAACTAGCGACAGGCGTAGCTTAGCAGGAAGCGGTAATTATGTCAAAGAGCAATTCCCAGAACGGTCCTCCGTCTGTTGCATAAGGTTTTCCCGACTTTGATAGATATTCGGGAGTCCCGGAGAGTGGAGGGACTTACGGCATAGCCGAGACACCAGACAGTACCGTACAGTAGCGCGGCACGCAGATGGGACCCTTGTTTTGCTTGAGGAGCTTGTTGAGTGCTTGCTTGCGATGAGGTGTGCTGTAAGGTTAAGTTTGCCAGGGTTCAACTGTCTTGTCCCCTGGAGTTTTGGTTGTCACTCGCGGGCCGGAGGCTAGGAAAGGCAAGTCTGGGGACGGCGGATCCAGACCCTGGTGACGATCTTGGGACGGTCATGATGAAGAGCCCGAGCTTGAGTGTCGATAATCTGGGGGGGGCAATTTGTCGTTGCTAGCCAAGCTGCCAAGATGGAAAGGGAGAGGTTAACTTAGACGGAGCTCTTAGCTTGGAGTAAGCCTCCATCCTCTAGAGAGTCAAGAGTCGTTGGTGGTAAAACGGCGGTGCCTTGCAGCAGTGAAAACCAAAACCCCATGTCAAGTCAAGCCGCTACTGTAACTAGCTCATCTCACTGCCGGTGGCTCCGTTCTGTCGTTGCGTCTCATTACAAGTGACAGATACTTTACAGCGAGTCTCGGTGCGTACCGCAATCTTATCCACCCTCAAGCTATTGTCAGGGTTTGTATTTGTGCCAGTCGGATTCGATCCAGGTAGTCAGTTGAGATACGTCAGGTACCACGTCCAAGGACATGGGCTCTCGGCATCGCCCCGTTTTCCCGTCTTGTTGTTTCGATAAACCATCTTAGCTTTATGAGCTAGTAACAACATGTACCAGGCAGGCAGGCAACGCGCATCTGGAGACGGTCAGGTTGATGCAAAGTCATGTACCTGGGTTCTGTGGATCTCGACGTTGTACTCAGTGAGTTAGGTTAGTTGTCATGTCGCCCTTAATCCCTCGCTGGCTCCGGCTTGAGGGACCGCTGAAACGGGTGTTTGCGGCAATAGTTTAGGTGTTGTGTAACCAAACTAGAATACTTGGAGTTTTCAGAAACTCGGAGATGTGATCGTATCCTAACCGCCTCATACCTGCAAGATGACCCCTTGTTGAGCTTGGTAATAGTTTGTGTTGATATGTTACCTGTAGTCGGTATCATAAAAAATCACAAACCATTTGATAGCCGCTTCAATGGTTAAAAGCATCAATCCACCATCACAAAGCCTCCCGCCTCTTGGGTTGTCTTGAACAGATCATTAAGCCAGGATTGGTTATGATCATCTTGCCCTACTTCTCTAGTTTCTGATCCCTGATCGGCGAAGTGCAGTGTAGGCCAAGCCCTATCCGGATAGCCAATATTGGGTCTGGTCTCGATGGCAGGTGTATGCTTGTTCAATTCCTCTAAAAATCAGATGATTTTTGGGTTTTCTTTTCTTTGTTCATCCACCAAGCTTGTCTCGACTTGGCTTCTCAACTTGCCCGCCCTGGTGCCCCCCACGATACACGTCACTGACGATATGGATCTAGGTATGGGGGCATGGGTCCTAGGGTTAGGAAGAATTTGTTTCCATCGGTGATATGATCAGGATGAGGAGAGTATGTATCCTTCAGTTGAGAATTGTTTCACTGGGCAATGGCAAATGGAGGACTTGTAGACAAGGTGTAGTCATGTAGTTATACATATCGGATTACTTCCGACCAATTCCCCAAAGGATTTGTTTGCTTGCCATTTCAATTGGCTGGTTCTTCCTTACAAGAATCTTCCACTACAAAGATGGATGGGTGGCTGCCCTTTTCCGCTCCGGCTAAAAGAACTGCCAGGATAAGTTGAGTTTCAAGCTTTGGATCGTCCATATCAGTACCATTTTCTCTCAATTGCTGTCAACATCCTTGCCCTTGTTCCTGTCTGAGTAGTGCCTCTAGTGCGTACATGTTGCATTCGCCGCCTGTTACAGCAAAAAGGAGACACTCTTGCTAATCCCTGCTTGACGCCTGTACCTTCAACCTCTGAATACCTACTTTCTGCCTGTGTTTGAGCGTCGGGTCTTAAATGCGTTAGCTTGTTACGAATCTCGAGGTTCAAGTGCCCTTTCGCTTCACGTTGCAGCTAAGCTAAGGTACCCTAGCACTAGCAACTAGGTGGTAAGTGACCCTCTAGCCTTGTCTCTCGCCTCACGTTCAGTGCCTTTAGTTGGTTGGGTCCATACCTAGGTCACTTTTCTTTAAGTCGAGCTGTGGATCGTCACTTTTCACTTTTCACCTTTCACCTACAGTCTCTTATTAACTAACCCCATCCCATCCCGTGTCATTCTGCGAAAGGTTTTTACTTCAAACCTCCTCCTTCTCCTTAACTCACTCTCTTTCCTCCCTCTGCTCTCCTCATAATTCTCCTCCCACTCTCGATCGACATTCCACCCATTTACGCCTCATATCGGACGACACTTTCAGTCGAGACCCATTCGGCCGAAGCTAATAAGATCTTCACCCCTCGTTCCTATCTGTGGCTCTTGTCTCCGTTTTTCAATTTTCCCCAGCTTCCCCTCCATCAAACCAAACCGCCACTTGCGCCGTAGATTGTTGAGAACATCTGTGCGAATTGGACAAGATCAAGTGTCGAGGTTGCTCAAAACTTGCGACTTAGATCCACATACGATCTGGTGTACTTGAACTCGCTCCCCCGTTAGAGTCACCGTCTTTTCCCATACTTTTGATCATATCAAATTGATCTTCGAACAAACTTCAACGCACCATGTCGCCGCATCCTACCCTCAAGGCGACTTTCGCCAGTCGAGCTGAGACAGCTACTCATCCTCTTAGTCGACATCTCTACAAGCTCATGGACCTCAAGGCCTCGAATCTTTGCCTCAGCGCCGATGTCGCAACCGCTCGCGAACTGCTCTACTTTGCCGACAAGATTGGTCCCTCTATCGTCGTTCTCAAGACTCATTATGACATGGTGGCCGGCTGGGACTTTGATCCTAGGACAGGCACTGGTGCCAAGCTCGCCTCACTAGCACGCAAGCATGGTTTCCTCATCTTTGAGGATCGCAAGTTTGGTGATATTGGCAACACAGTCGAGCTGCAGTATACCAGCGGTGCTGCGCGCATCATCGAGTGGGCACATATTACCAACGTAAATATGGTTCCAGGCAAGGCCTCTGTTACATCTCTGGCCCATGCTGCCAACCGATGGCTCGAGCGATACCACTACGAGGTCAAGACATCTATTAGCATCGGAACCCCCACCGCTAGTCAACTGGACGAGGACAGTGAGCGTTCAGACAACGAGAACCAGAAGGAGACGCCGGAACCTGCTCGCGCTGACAGCGGCCGAAAAGGCAGCATTGTTTCCACCACCACCGTCACCCAACAGTACGAGTCGGCCGATTCACCACGCCACGTCAAGACGATTCCTGAGGGCGAT